GCGGGACCATAGACTAATATGGTTCAAGGCCGGCTAAATACACTCTTCCATGTAGCTGCAAACAGTCAACTGAAAATTCTTAATCCTCTGCTAGCGCGTGGAGTGGACTTATACCCCAAGGAGCCAAACGAGAATCGTTACTTGTTATCATCGATAATCGCATATGGAAAATGGGGATCAGTTTAGAGGCAGAAGCAGACTGCTTTCAATGCATTGCTTTTCGAACCTTCGTCGACTTTGAGAATATGATAGACCTCGGAGATGATGAAGCACAAGCCGAGGTTCTATAATGATATTGTGCAGGGCGTTCTGGAGCAAGGATTTCCGCAGATGGAATCTATCATCGCTGTGAGATGCGGTACAGCAGGCCATTACTCCAGGCCATTGCCAACGGTCATATTGGAATTACTAGAATCCTTGTCAAGCACGGTACCAATATACAGGAAGGCCAAGCGAAAGATTCCCAAAGAATTGATCAAAGAGGCATTATTGGGAGGAGAAGAAATGGCGGAGTTGGTCTTGAATCGGGGGCTGTTGGAGATTTACCCTGAGAGCTTTGAGGCGGGAGAAGGATTAGTGCACGCTGCCCAATCCGGGATGATTCGGGTGGTAAAGCCGCTACTTGAACGAGGAGTTCGTCTCAAATGAGATTCATTTAACCCTCACCTATCTTTGCTTTGGCTGCAGCGGATTCTTCTACCACTGATGGTGGCATCAATGCCACCATTCTTGATATGCTCCTAGCCCATGGCGCTGATATTGAGGAACGGTGTTTGTCTGGCCTAACTCCCTTGTACCGGGCTATCATGCATATCGATTTCAAAGTGGAGTGGGCTTTTGACCAAGCAGAGGTACGGCTCTTGCTGGAGAGGTGCAGATCCCTTCCCTTCGCGAATCATGTCCAACTGGAGAGCATTCGTTACAGAGACGAGGGATCCGCACGCTCTTTCCGACTCACCATTCAGGAGTAGACCATCAGTTGTCAGTCTCAGTGCTTGAACCTCGGTTGACTGTCCTCCTGGGAGAATAGTTGAATACGGGCGCAAGTTGGTAGGCCGAGATGGACCTTACAATGATCCATTCATAGCATCTATGAAACGGGGCGATAAAGCAGTCAACAAATTGGAAAGAGATCCCCTCGGAGGAGTTGAAGGATAGGCTTGACCGAGCCCGGATTGAAGCGACTGAGAATGGGAACCTGCACCTCCTACCCGTTCTAGAGGATTATTACTGGGCAAAAAGATATCCATGCAAGTAGATGAAGATTCATTCATAATATCAACATGCGATTTGCAAATAAAGTGAGTTGAATGATGCTGGAAAGACCCGCTCAAAGGTATAGATAGAAGAAATGCTCTACGCTCAATGGAAAACATCCACAGTCAAGATCAAGAGATCTTTCCGATCCTCTTCCTTCCAATATCCATCTTGGATTTCAATCTAGACATATAGTTAGTAAGGCAGGTCAAAACAAGTGGAAAAAGTAAGAAAGGGCGTAAACGAACATATCAGCCTCCTCATCCGCCAACCTTAGCAGATCATTCTGCACCTCGAGCTCCTCATTAATCTGCGTGCCGAGTTCCCTCTGTCGGATAATGATCTTCCTCAACTCATCCACATTATCATCCTGACTCTGCATCATCTGCCTCTGCAACTGCAGCACACCCTCGTTATCAAGTTCTCGAGTCCGCTCTGTCTCTTTGCCAAGGACTCTGCCTGTCCGCGCCGGCGTCCTACGCCCACTAGATGCATCCCCAGCGCCATTCCCAGCATTGATCAAAGCTCCTTTATCTTGGATGGATGCGACAGTATGATCAAGCCGGCTCTTAGTTGCCATAGCATGCAAGAGATCCTCTAAGCCGTCTTTTTCCTTGCGCGCATTAATGAGCAGGTCTTTTCGACGGCGGATCTCGCCTCCGCCGAGATTGGATGTCTGTGACTCAGAGCCCTTATCTCCACGTCCTAGGTTCTTCAGTCCATCGTCCAGAGTGGTGATCATTGTCCCCGCACGGACAAGACTGCCCTTCGCCTGTGCAGAGCTCTCGTGTTGCTTCTGCGGAGTGGTCTCCTGGTCTCTGCGAGATAGTTGCAGTCGTGCATCATGGAGGTGGTTCTTCATGTCGCGGTAGTAGTCGAGCCATAACGTCGGGTCTGTGATGGGTGCGTTTGTAGCGGCGGGATCTGTGATGGCGGCGTGGAGTCGGGTGGAGGTAGTTGTTGATCCGTTGCCGGTTGATGCGACTGCGGTGGGGAGATTGAGGAATGCACGCCATGCGGGCGAGGTGCGCCAGCGCCCGTCTTCGGACTCGTTGATCGCGCGAAGATACTCCTCTAAGCCACGGCGGCGGTCTTCGCGCAATCGATCATTCGAGACGGTTTTCGAAAACCAGGACTTTGAAGGTAGGGGGGCTGGTGGAGGTGCATTCGTTTGGGAGATGAGGGTGCTGTGGAAGGTTGCAAAGTCCGAGTAGCGTTTGGGGACCGTGAAGGAGCGGAGCGGGAGGCGGAGGGTGATGTGGTAGACGGTGTATGGCGGGGAGGTGTTTGAGAGGGTGGTGTTCGGGATCGCTATTTCAACAGTTGGCGCCATTTTGATTAGAATTGGAATGAAAATGGCATTCTTCTTTGAAGTTGAGGAAAACAAAGAGGTGAGGAACTGCCCAGGTCCTCGGGGGCGCATGACGCAAACCTTGGAAAGCTTAGACCAGCCTAGTAGGCACCCGATATGCCCTATGATAAGGCACTACGTATAGAACACGAGACAACACAAGACATTGGCACGTTGTAACAAGGAATTAATATTAAGTAAGAATGGGTATCTCATACATGCAAATCAAATCCATTTACTCCCAGACCTCTCGTTCCTGCAACAGATCCCGCTGGCCAAAGAACTCACCAACAACTGTAATGATCATGTCGAGCAGGGCATGGGTCTGTATCGACCAATCGTCTTCTTCTTCTTCTTCCTCTTCCTCTTCTTCATTGTCGCAGCTAGTAGTTGTCTTGGCAGAGTCGGGAGTTTTCTGCAGCCGAGCGTGCAAGCGCACCTTGGCTGCCTCCAAGTCGGATTCTTCAAGCGATGCATCAGGCATGCTGGAGTCTTGTGCTTCTGCGACCTCCGGCAATTCTGCTTGCTTACTTTCCTCCTCATTCTGAACTGTAATTTCCGGCTGAGTCTCTTCTTTGGCCTCTTCCTCACCTTGGGCTGTAGGTTCTGACTGGGTTGCCGGCTTGGTCGCTTCCTCATCCTGGGTCGTAGATCCCTGCTGAGCTTCTTCTTTGGTATCTTTCTCACACTCGTTGAGGTTACCCTGTTGGGTTTCCTCCTTTGGTTGGTCTGCCATAGAGGAATCGACGTCCCCCTCATACTCGTCGTTCTCTAGCTCTTGCACCTTGCGCAAAATTATCGCGGCTCGTTTGCCTAGATTTCGGATAACTCCCACCTCTCGGGTAGAAAGTTGCCCAACCTCACGGCACTTCCCCAACAAGCCCCAAGCCCAGGCTCCAATGCGCCGTACGCGCTGTGTGTCGTCGCCCCGCACAACATCAGACATCATCCGTGCTAGTATTTCCAGCACTTCTAACACGCTGTCCATATCCATGCTTGCCAGTTGAACCATGCGTGGTTCGACTGTAACCAAAAGCCGGCGCCATATTTTATGCGCAGATCCGGCCTTTCGGGGGAGACTAATAGGGTGGTCATTGTCAAGGGTGTTGATAGCCCCAGCGGGTGGACTGCATCGTAGGGTCGATCGCAAGAGGAGGAATCGATGCCGGAGAAGATTGTTGTAGGATTTTTGCGTATCGGGATAGAGTGAATCGAGCTTTGAAGGGGAATGCGCGGCGTTGCTTGCGTCCACATCCTTCGCAGGAGCAATATAGGCTTCGTCCTCGTAAAAGCCTGCTGGCAGAGGAAGGTTATTTGGTTCAAGTGGCTTCAGATCATGGCGCGTGTTCGATACCGGATTTGAAGGGTCTGTAGTCTGAGTAGACGCAGTAAAAAGGACGGGTAGTGAGTTTGCTTCGGATCTATCAAGGAAAAATTAGTTCAAACTTGAGCCAGGACATGCGCAGAACTGGGAAATCCTCGGCGTCGTTTAGGGAGCAAAGCAAAAACTCTTTAGATTCAAGGTTAGACATACCGAACCATGCGTAGGTATTCCAATCCATCCTCCAGGTCATCGTACGGCAATTCATCGCCTCCATCATCCAAACCCGGGAATGCACTCTTCTGGCCATAGAGGGGATTGTGACGGGGGCGCTCATAAGATGCCGTCGAAGATTCGTCATCTTCATCGTCATCATAAGATATCCGAGGACGCTTCAAGGAAGGGGGCGACATTGTGGCTTTTCTCTTGTCGGGCATAGTGAGGTGAAGGTGGTAGAATCGAGGGAGCTTTGGCCAATCTGCAGACCAGCTTAGAGTCCTCGCAACAAATATGGACTTGACCACCTATTTCCTTAACGTGATAAGATATTCATAGGATAAGAAATATCCATCTACTTGTTTAAGACATATTTCTGGTTTTATTCAGCTACAAGAATAGTCGGCCGCTTATATGTATATGTATACAAGCAAACCCAAGGCGGTGTAAAATAATTGTTTATCGAAGGCGGGGACATGCATCTACCTGGCAAAAAAGATAAGGATCGTCATCGACCAATCTTTTACATCTTCAAGTATTGACTCTCAATCCACCCCTCATGTCTTTTTTATCATTTACTCTCCACACCCTTTCCTTGGTCCTTTTTTTACTGGTCTCAATTGAAAGACCATTTTGCTTCCCTTTTCAATCTAGTGAAGGAAAATTGGCCTAACAACCCCGCTGCACTTGAGATGAGCTGTCTCTTTGCCTCTCTCGGAAGCGGTTTGGTCTCTCTGTTGCCTCTGCGTCGCCATCTTAATCCCTGATTGTCACGAAACATCACACATAATATTTCGGACACACTGGTGCTTTACAATGTCTATTTGAAAAATTGTTGTTTGTTTGACTAGCAAAATGCCAAAGCTGGTCGATTCCTCCGAAGTCATGACTTCTCGGCGATATGTTCACCTCCCTACAGAGATCTTAATACACATCGCCAAATTCATTTTTGATGATTGGCGTGATACCGATCCCCCTTTTTTCCAAGTCACACTTCAAAGGTTCTGTGCGGTCTCTCGTCAGTGGTACTCTGCTGGCATCGAATTTCTCTACTACCGACCTCAACTTGACGAAGGGAATAGCTTCTCGCTTTTCACCAATACCGTGTGCCCGCCAATTCGCTCCCGAGAACGAAAAGTGGATCTGGGATCGCTCGTTCAGGTCCTGAACCTCGAGGCCTTGGTACATCACAGCTCTAATAGCCTGACGGCACGGCTTCTAGGTCGAGTGAAGAAGAACCTAAAGACTTTTGCTGCTCCGAGGATCTCTTTTTCGTGAGTAAATACTGGCTATCACAAAATTCCATCTAATCTTAGGCTAACCTCTCTCCACAGGATCAACAGCCTTGCGCCCTTATCAAAGTGCAAAGAGCTTTCCTATCTTTGCCTTAGCTTAGTAGCTGAGCCAATTCCGCTTTCTGCTATCAAGAAAGCCATCAGCAGCCTCGACAAACTGCAATCCCTCAAGCTTTCATCTTCAACGTTCATCACGGACGACGGTTCCAGTGAAGGTTGGCCACCCAATCTGACAAGTCTCCAAGTTGGCGGGCAATTTGATGTTGAGAAAATGTCTTCTTTCAGGTGGCCCGCCAACTTGGTATCGTTGTCGTTTTGTGGTTGCGAGGATCTGGACACTTCTGCCTTGGAACAGATCCTTATCAACGACCAGCTCCGCACCACGCTTATTCAATTGACCATTCACCGTTCTAACCGCGGGATGTTTGACGTGGGACCATCTGCGATTTTATCAGAACTCCTTTCTTTGAAGTCTCTTCGGATACCCGCTGAACTGCTTTACGATTTACTCCTCCTTCCTGCGTTTGATCCAATGGGTTCTCCAACGTCGATTCGTGAGCTGGAGCTCACGGCACCATATGACGAGAATTTTGCTACAAATATTGATCCTGATGATATTTGCAAGGCCCTAAATATGAATCTTTCTCGAGTGTGCTATCTTGGTATCAGCCCTGCCTGTCTTGGGGTAATACCTGAAGCATCACATGCCAAAATTGACAAGTTTGTGTGGAAAAACATTGATAAGTGTCCTGAGGAGGAACTTGATTCTTTGTTTGACTTGGGCCTCGTTGTCATGGATAAGGAGCCACTTTGCTAAGCGTTCATGGATTTTTTTGCACGTCTATCTGTTTACATCAGCCTTTTATGAGTCATGTTACTACCCCAACAGCTATTTTCTGAGCGATACACAATAGCACAACCTGTAAAACAGAATTGATGAAGCGATAGCACTATTTGATTCAAAAGCCTCCCTGTTTTTAAATCTTCAAATCAGAGGGAAGTGTAGAAGTTTGAGAGTTGCAAGTGTGGAGAGTGGGGAAATGGAAATTCCACGGGAAACATCTGGCCGGGAACCCAGTAATGACGTACATTTCCTTCTGTACACATTCCCCAGGGTCACCTGGCCACTACCACAATGAGATCGCAAACCCTTTGGCGGTCATTTGGCCTATTGCAGCGTCAATCTCCCTCTTCTCGTATAATAATCACCCACCGAGCTATCCAGACAGCCAGTTCTCGACCGATCCCCAAATTCGCATTTGCATTTGAGTGAGTCTTGACCAGCGAACGCAATCCACTCGATTTTCTTCTAACATGCTACAGCATTGATGGCGTTCTCCTCCGTGCATCGAAACCTGTACCAGGTGCCGCCGACTCGCTGGCTCTCCTGAAGGAGCAAGGCATCCCCTTTCTTCTGCTCACAAACGGCGGTGGTAAACACGAGACAGAGCGCGTCGCAGAAATTAGCGAGAAATTAGGGATCCCACTTGATGCTACAGATATTGTACAGAGTCACTCGCCCTTCGCTGAGCTAGTCAAGGGACCGGACGAGTCGAGCGCTCTGGAACATAAGTGTGTGTTAGTGGCCGGAGGCGATGGGGATAGCTGTCGGCGCGTGGCAGAACAGTATGCCAAAGACCCCTTCCTCTTTTCAAATGATATATGCTAAACAATGGTGATAGGTATGGGTTTAAGAACGTTGTTACCCCTGCGGATATTCTCATGGCCAACACCGCTATCTGGCCGTTCTCAAAGAACTTCAGCGACTATTATAAAACATTTGCCCGACCGCTTCCGAGCCCCATTGACCTCAATGATCCATCAAAGACTCTGAAGATCGACGCTATCTTTGTATTCAATGACCCTCGTGATTGGGCATTAGACACCCAGGTTATTATGGACCTCCTCCTCTCGTCGCAAGGACGTATGGGCACTTTGTCTGAAAAGAACGGCCGAATCGATCTTCCCAACCATGGTTACCAGCAGGATGGCCAACCCCATCTATACTTCTCTAACCCAGATCTGTGGTGGGCCGCCGCCTACCCCTTGCCCCGTCTTGGTCAGGGCGGATTCCGAGAAGCACTCGAGGGCGTTTGGGCCGCCACTACAGGTGGCCCCAGAAAGGGTATTGAGCTGAAGAAGACTGTGATCGGCAAGCCTTACCAACCCACCTACGAGTTTGCAGAGCGTCAATTACTTCGGAACCGATTGAGAACATTTGGGAGCTCTGCAGAGAGCACGCCCCTGGAGAGAGTATACATGGTCGGTGATAATCCAGAGTCGGATATTAGAGGAGCCAACTCCTATCGCAGTGAGATTGGTAGTAGCTGGCACTCGATCCTTGTCCGCACTGGGGTATACAGCGGCGGAGAGCCTGCTTGGATTCCTCAGACCATTGCCGACAATGTGCACAAAGGTGTTCAATGGGCACTGAAGAGCTCGAACTGGCCTGCTGCTTGAGTGTCAAGGGACACTAGACACTCTATATTGATATAAGCATCAGCATGAATATGGCGCCAATTGTATGTTTATGTGCGTTAACTCTAGATAGCTACCAGCATCAACCCACATAAGTGCGTCTAATCCATTTTATTCAAGCTACGAAGTAATAGCAAACGTTCGAATAACCGATTACATGCATGTATGTATAAAGTCCAGCTGGTAGAGTTTAGATCTGCGCCTAGTCCCCACACCGCCTACCCCTCTTAGGGCTTGATTATTCGGTGGGGTGAGTCAACGGAACACTTTTCTCTGCAGCTCTACTTACAATCAGCTTGTTGCATTTAGTCCTGCAAATTTCTCAGGATACAAAATTATTGAGGTAAGATCCACTGCCCCCAACCCAACAATTTGCCCCCTCTAATTGTTCTCGCAGCACCATGGCCGACTCCGAATTGCCCCACCGTCCCAAGCCCGAGGCCCAGGATGCCTCCGCTCCCGCCGCGGAAGGCGAGACCAAGAACGCAAGCAAGAACGCTCTGAAGAAGGCCGCAAAGGATAAGGCCAAGGCAGAGAAGGCTGCGGCACGTGCGGCACAAGAAAAGGCCCAGGCCGCCGCCCAGGAAGCCAACGATACAGCCAAGGATCTATACGGTGCCCTCCCGGAGACCGAGGACGTCGCCCCCTCCACACGATTCAGCGAACTCTCCGAGGAACACTACGAGAAGGAAGTGACAGTCGTGGCGCGTGTGGACAATGCGCGTGTGCAGAGTGCTAAGCTTGCATTCTTGATGCTGCGCCAGCAGGGACAAAAGGTTCAGGCCGTCATTGCCGCCGCCGAGCCCATCTCGCGACAAATGATCAAGTACACCGGCGGATTGAACGTCAACTCGATCGTGCAGGTCACCGGTATTGTGAAGAAGCCCGAGATCCCCATCTCGTCCGCCTCCATCAGTCACCTCGAGATCCACATTCGAAAGGTCTACATGATCTCTGAGGCTGCGCAGATGCTTCCCATGCAAGTCAAGGATGCTGAGCGCCCTCCTCCCGAGACCACCGATGAAGGTGCTCAGGTTGACGCCGAGGGTACTCCCATCGTCACCCTCAAGACCCGTCTCGACAACCGGGTCCTCGATCTGCAAACCGAGACCAGCCAGGCCATCACCTGGATCTCCAGCGGTGTTTCTGAGCTTTTCGCTGAGTACATGATCAAGAGTGGCTCTCGGTGGATCTTCACACCTAAGCTGGTCGGTGCCGCCACGGAAGGTGGTAGCGGTGTCTTCGAGGTGAAGTACTTCAAGCGCAACGCCTACTTGGCCCAGAGTCCCCAGCTCTACAAGCAGATGTGTATCGCTGGTGATATGGAGAATGTCTTCGAGATCGCCCCCGTGTTCCGTGCGGAGGACAGCAACACCCACCGCCACTTGACCGAGGTATGCATCTACTGATATATATGCCCAAACAGGAAAACAGATTGTTCTAACATGACCTATAGTTCTCCGGTCTCGATTTCGAGAAGACCTTCCGCGGCCACTACCACGAGGTTCTCGAGTTCGCCGAAGACCTCCTCGTCTTCATCCTCACGCAGCTCAAGGAGCGCTACGCATCCCAGATCGCCACCATCCAGAAGTCCTACCCCAAGGCCGGCGAATTCAAGCTTCCCAAGAACGGCAAGGCCCTGCGCCTGAACTACATGGACGGAGTCGCCCTGTTGAAGGAAGCCGGCGTCGACGTCTCCGAGCAAGAGAGCTTCGAGAACGACTTCTCCACCGCCATGGAGAAGCAACTCGGCCAGATCATCCGCGAAAAGTACGACACTGACTTCTACGTCCTCGACAAGTTCCCCATGGCTGTCCGTCCCTTCTACACCAAGGCTGATCCCAACGACAAGCGCTTCTCTAACTCGTACGACTTCTTCATGCGTGGAGAGGAGATCATGTCTGGCGCCCAGCGTATCAACGATATCAAGGAGTTGGAGGAGTCTATGCGCGCTAAGGGTCTTGAGCCTAACCAGGAGGGCTTCGAGGATTACCTCAATGCTTTCCGCCAGGGTTGTCCCCCTCACGCCGGTGGTGGTCTCGGTCTCAACCGTATTGTTATGTTCTTCCTTGGCTTGCCTAACGTCCGTTTGGCTTCGCTGTTCCCCCGTGACCCTCAGCGTCTGCGTCCTTGATTTTACACTCTGTGGGACTATTTCATAACATTACAAGCATATAAAAACAAAATACTTCACTTTTATTTCAACTACATATACATCTTTTGCTTTACCAGTAATATTTTACTGTGAATAATATAAAGCAAACGTCCAAGTTTGGAACCTTGTCAGTCGGCCTTGTCTACTCTAACTTAAACAACGGCTAGGTAGCGTTAAAAAACCAAGCCTACGAGTCTGCGATCTATATTCCAGTGGCTGCTACACTGCAAAGAGAGGAGAGACACCAGAAACACCAATAGTAGGCATAAATATGATATGATATTTGGATGAAAAGTTGCATTGACGAGTTTTGAGGGGTGGACGACGCAATCTAACGAACCAAGACACATGAAAAAAGACACACGCTCTTGTCCCCCCAACCAGGATTAAGCACGTAACAACAAAAAGAAAAGCAGAGAGAGGGATTAAGACACAGAAGCAATCACAGCGGCGGCAACGCCCTCCTCTTCCGCCCGGACGGTGATCTTGGTAGTGACACCGGCCTTGCTGGAGTAGGCCATCTTGATCAGAGAAGCGACACGGCCCCCAGAGACGGTCTTGCCGAACAGCTTGAGCGTGTGTGTGCTGCTGTTAAGGGCGACGTCGGTGCCCTCGAGGGGCTGCAGGGATAGCGCTGAGATCAGTTGTTCCGTGGCATCTGTTGGGATAGTCAGAATGATTAATTATAGGAGAGAATGATAGATAGGAATTGTGCGTACCGTTGATACCCTTCATGTTGCTGAGCTGCAGGGTTTCGCTTTCCTCCTCGCCGTTGGCACCGGTCTGCTCCCAGACGTGGTCGAAGCTGCCGGCGAATGTCGGGATGACATAGTCGCTGCCTGTCAGCTCGAGGTCCTCTACCTGGTACTCGTCGTCGTAGCCACTTTCCTCGGGCTCGCCGCTTGTAGGGTCGATTTCTTTGCTAGTGAACTTAAGGATGTTTGTGAAGGAGGTGACGGGGACGCTGTTCTCGCCGGTGAGCTTCTTGAAAGCAACGTAGACAACACCAGGCTGGTCTGTGGGCAGCTTGGGGGCAGGGATAATAAAGTCGTCCTCCAATACGTCCTCTTCCTCTGGTGTGGCAGCCACGGTGACATTCTCGAGAATGGTATCTGGGAGTGTGTTCTTAATATCATATTGCACCACGATGTGTTCCTTGAAAATGTGCTTGACGGCGGTAACAACATATTCGGTTTCGCTCTCGGAAAGCTCGACAGGCGCAGAGGACTTGAGCAAAATGCCGTATGCCTTGATGTCGGGGTATTGCAGAAGTTGCTCTGCGTATTTCTGGGTGGCAGAGGCGCTGGCCGCTTCGGCCATACCGCCGGCGGCCTTGCCCTTCGGGGGACCAGCCGAAGGGGTCTTGAGAGTGGGAGTGGCCGAGGTAAGCTTCTTGGTCCTCTCTTCAGCCAGGGCCTGCTCGTGTGAGACAACCGGAATGGTGGCAACATCGAAGGCAGTAGCGAAGGTCTGCTTATCACCAGACGTCACGTACATGACGAGCTGGTGTTCAAACGTGGAAAGGGAATACATTGAGTCTAGAACCATTAGTAAATTTGATATTGCCAGTCATGGAAAAGGTCGTACCGTTCTTAATGAAAGCGCTCGCCGACTCATCCTCCTCGCCCATAAGACGCAGGTTAAGCGCAGCACGGTCTCGCACCTCATCGTCGGTGTCATCAAGGCAACGGGTGAGGAGAACATGAACACTAGACTTGACTTCGGGGTCTTTCTGGCCAACACCAAACTTGGCCAGTGCGGTGACAGCGGCGGCGCGTACGATCGCGTTCTCCAATACAACGCGGTTGTAGATGTAGCGGATATACTTGGTGGGGGAGGTAGTCTTAGGGCCCTCAGAACCAAGAAGGTGCAGGATTCTAACCGAGAGCTTGGTGAACTCACAGTCCTCAATGAACTCGCAGAGGTGGGCAAGCGCATCTTCCTTGCTTTCCGGGACAAATTTGATCAAATCGAACATGCTCTCAACAACAGTGCGCTTGAACTCGTATCCACCCTCGTCCCGCAGGATGCCACTCAGGAAAACGAGCATACCGGCCTGCTTACTGGGGAACTTCAAACACAAAGTGCGAATAGCCTCAACAATAGTGACCTTGAACTCATCAGTGATATCGGCCATGAAGCCCGAGATTTGCTTCATCAGACGGTCGACGCTGGCTTCGTTGCCGGTCTTAAGCAGTGTCGTAATGGCGAACGTGGCAATAGAGCGGTTCGAGTTGGAGATGAGGGACTCCATATCTGGGTTGCAGACATTGACAACGTGTGGCTTAAAAGAGGCGAAGTTGTGTAGGATACGGATGGCAGCGAACTTGGTGATCGAGCGGGGAGAGGACAGGAAGAGCTGGAGAACGTGAACTGCCTGTGTTGCCTCGGCGTCGGTGACATCACGCATATCGCAAATAGCCTTGGCTGCCTCGAAGTTGACCATCTCATGCTTGTGGCGGAGCCAGCCATCCAACATCTGCATCATGGGTTTCCGGAGACCTTGGTCCTCCTCGGCCAATTTGGCGGCCAGACGTACCAACAGAACCAGAGCAGCCGGGCTCTTCACCACACCTGCAGCACCGTACTGCTGTACCATCTTGACCAAAGACATGCGATCGTGCGAGCGCATCTGGTACAAAAGACCGATGGCATGGTACTGTGTCATGAAATTCGAGTTGGAAATGGCGTGGCTCTGTGAGCTCGAGGAGAAACCAAGGAACCCGGTGGATGATTTCGATGACGAGGCCGCTTCCTGTGTTTCGCTCTGCCATCTCCGGACAACGTCGCGCGCAATGGGGAGGAGGTGGTAGGAAGAGACCAAGGCGGCGGAGGACACCGAGGGGGTCTTGTCAACAATGGCGGTCTTGATAAGTCGTTCGATACCCTGTACTGTGGAACCCTTTTGCAAGTGTCAGCAAATCCCCTCAAGCATTGAAATCCTCGCGACCGACGACCGGCGACCTACATCGATAATGCGGCAGAGCGCTCTGATGGCATTAGCCCGGTACAAAACATCGCTTCCCACTGCGGTGTCCTTCATAATGATACTGGTCGACATGATTACATCTTCGGCGGTGCTAGCCAGCTCCTTCAAGATCAAATACACCATCTGCCGCAATGACGGGTCTTTGTTCTGGAACAGCTTAGAGATTCCGAAGAAGAGGGTGGTGGCTTCATTCGTAGGGAACTGCTCCCCGGTGAACATGAGGACAGCGATTTTGGTGAGTAACGTTCGGCATGTCCGCGGCGAGATAGGAGAGGAATTGAATAGACGTGCTAGGAGAATTATATCGTCAGCATTGAATGTGTGCAGCAGCGCATAGAGGCGCCAGGGGGTATTGTTGATTGCACACCATCTTGGAAAACGGACGTCCGATCAAGCTTGATCATGACCTGGTCCTCATCTTCGTTTTTCTTCATGTAACTCATCTTGCCCAGCAGCTGGTATTGCACCAGCAATGAGTGGTTGCTGTCGTATTAGAAAGGTGGAGTTGGTGCAATTGGGACACGGGTCGAGTACACAGAGGCAGGGTAGGGCGGTGTAGGCGACTACAGCATTTGCATAACCACGCAGGAATTGAAGGCTTAACGAGGGTGAATCGGAGAAAAAAAGGAGAATAGAATTGAGGTAAATGAGGTGGTAATGAATCTTAAACCCTCAAAGCTCAGAACTGCCAGCTATGGACAAGTTGAAGGTGGCCTTCCGTGTGTTTGGCCCGAACCAAACACTGCAAACAGGTGGCAACACGATTGAAGGCAGCGTATTTATCCCTCCAACTCCCCTCATTCTCTCCATATTTCGCTTGAATTGAACTTGATCTATACATCTTTGATCATTTCAATCCACTATGCAGGTTGAAGTTGACCCGAAGGAGGATACCGAGTGGTAAGCCCTATTACTTGCACATACCCCCGCCGTCGACAATGATGTATAAACCAAATGCAGCTTGCTAACCAGTTGTTGAATGTTGTATAGGAACGATATCCTCCGCCAGCATGGCATTATTCCCGAAAAGCCCAAAGACCCCGAACCTCTGATCCAAGAGGCCCTGATCGCCGCACAGCACAGGGCGCACGAGAACCGGCTTGAGGACAAGGACCTTGATGAGCTGGATGCACTGGAAGAGGATGAAGATGAAGAGTTTCTCGAGATTTATCGGTAAGCCTGTTATCTAATAGTTGGTATACCTAAAAGGATCCCCTTTTTCTCACGGTACCAATCAAACAGGCAAAAACGACTCGCCGAGCTCTCCACCCTCCAACAAACCAGCCTCTTCAATCAGGTCTTCCCACTTCAGAAAGTCGATTATGCCCGTGAGGTGACAGAGGCATCGAACAGTGCTTTTGTACTAGTTAACCTCACATCGATGGGCGGGAACGTTGAATCGCGCGTGTTGACAGAGCTCTGGCGGCAGGTTGCTGCCAAATTCGGCGATATCAAATTCTGTGAGATTCGTGCCGACATGTGTATTGAGGGGTATCCGGAGAAGAATACGCCCACAATCTTGGCTTACAAGGATACCGAGATCAAGAAGCAGCTTATTACGCTCCAACAGTTGAACGGTCCCCGGACCAAGGTTGAAGGTAAGTTCCGTTCAAGGCAGGAGTAAAATAAGGATTATATACTGATCAAGTGCGTAGATATTGAGCGTCTGCTCGTGGAGATTGGTGCTTTGAAGGAGAGTGATGTTCGTCTGAGGAAGCATGATGACGAGGACGACTACAAGAAAGACGATGACCTGAACGTTGAAGATTATGATGATGACTGGGACTGATTTCCTTGCAATTGACCATTACTGCAAATATTTTATGATCTGGCTTGTGTGTATATTATGAACATATCCAAAAAGATGATGACGCCCTTCCATGTCGGCAAAAGCCAAGAGGCTCATGCTGTAAGACATAACGCGCTTGTCGGCCTCGATTTGAATTGAGGTATCTATGTCTACTATATCTACACCTGTAGTTGGTCATAGAGATGGGTCAGTCTGGGTTCATGATGGCGACTATCCAGTGTATATTGATGCTTAATATCAATATATCCAACTCAATTTGCAAACTATGTAGGCTTTCATCAGAATGAACATAAATAAAGTCAAAATTCAGGTATAAATAGCTCAAACGCTCCTAAGCAGAACCAAATCACTTATTTACCGAATTAACAACGGATCAAATGATATAATCGCTGTTCATCCCGGGGCCTATTGATCCCATAAATCCCAACGCCGAAGAACATCAAGTCATAACCGTATCAGTGGTACCCGAAAGAAAAAAAAGATATCACAGATAAAGGATCAGATCAACTCATCACGACCAGCGGCCGCACTCTCCTCAATAGCCTTAAGAACCTGACTCTCCTTAAAAGCAGGACCCTGTCCATCACACTGCGACATACCCTTCAAACGCTCCGTGACATCACCGATATCAAGCTGGCCGCGCTGAAACAACTCATGTTTCTGAATAAGGTCCCACACCGCACCCGGATCCAGCAGTTTCTCGCCAGTGATCGGACACACGGTAAGACGGTGGTGTGCGCTCTGAGGCGTGCCGGGGCCGTCGGCCATGAAGGTGGCATGAAAGTCTGTGGGGCAGAACTTCATCGGCCCCGTGACAGTTGGCTCGGGGGTCTGGTTTGCGCTGACATGTCCGTAGTTGGCGTGTTGTGATGTCGCGCGCAGGATTTCATTCTCGGTTGTGAACCGGGCTAGCTCGCGCTTCAGGCGCTCGTTGTCGGCTTGTAAGGTGTTGGATGCATCTTCGAGGCTGTTTACTTTGTCTTCGAGATCGCGGACGTGCTGTTCCTTTCTCTCGAAATGCTCGTTGACTGTGTGACGAGTGGGATTTGTCAGCGCTTGCTTTATAGGGCTCTGAGCGGGTTTGATATATCACGTACGCTGCTCGGTTTTGCGCCTTGCGCTTGCTTTGCGCGGGCGCTGATTCCTTTTCCTCGCTGCTACTTCTTCCTAAGGTTGGGTCGGCGAATTGAGTTTCATCGCCGTCGTATGAGGTGGGGCGTGTATGCTGACTATTGGTAACATCGCTAGAAGCAGAGTGCTTGACTGATTCTGGCGGTGAATGCGGTGGCGGAACAAAGGAGGGGTCGACGGGGAATGAAGGGTCAAAGCCAGGTGGGAAGTTCTGGTAGTTATTCTAGTCTATTAGCGATAAGTTCTTGAAGGGGGACAAAGGACTTACCAAAGGGGCGAATGTGTCTGGTTGGGCATGGGGTTGGTCGGGGGTAGGCAGCCCGTAGAGCGAGAAGCCCGAGGGTTGTGATCGGGGATCATAGAAAGAGTAATCCATTACGGAATTTTAGACAGTTCCCAAGGTCTTCAGCGCTTGTCGGAAAGTTAGGAGGTGAGGTGGGAAAACTTTGAGGGAAAATCTATTATCTGGTCGAGTTTCATGTACCGGGGGGTTGGGGGCGTTCCCTCGTACGATGTGCAGAATTTAATGTTGTCATGACATTTCCTATACGATGCTAATTTCAAGGTATACTTCCAAGGTTTACATATTCGAGATTTACCTATCCTCCCGGATATCGATCAATTCATTCGGTGCATAGGCCCTAAACTTTCGATGATCTCACCGTTTTTCTATTCTTTGGGACCGGGAAGAACGGGTGTTCAAACGGCCGAGTTCCAGGTCTGGTTGCCAGTTGAATAGCAGGATTCGAGATGAAAGTAAGCAAATTGGAAGTGCAGTGTAGAGAGAGCTAAGAGAAATAACTTGACACAAATCGACGCATACCACCCCGGAAGCGACCCTAACCAATGTCCGTCGCCAATCACACCATCTTCCTGTAAAGCGGGATTGCATTAGAGACCTTCTGTAAGAGTAATTTCCGCAGTGTAGCTTGAGCAGAAATCCAGAAAGCCTGCAAAGCAATACTCCCGAAAGCCGTCCCCGTCTTAAATCCCCTTTGGCCGTATTGGAGGCCACACCTCGTCCCCGTTGAGCGTCGATAGTTCACAAATTAATCATCACCAGGCAAACGCAAAAAAAAAAAACCTAATAACTGGGGAAGAACAAGGGCAGAGAATAAACATCATGAGTAAAGAAAAGGGGCAAGCAATGATAGGCAGCACATCCGAGGATGCATTCAAGGATCTCCAGTACCAGCGATTAAACAACCCGACGGGAAAAAAAGAAATTGCGGGCTGACACCGTCATTTGCATCCCCCTTAGTCTTGCCCTCTGGTCGTTCTGACCAAAGATGCCAGGTTGTAAAGAGAAACCAAAGGGCGAAGACATAAGAATAAGCCACAATATCAGAAGCGTTTCGAGACGTGCAATCGGTTGTCCCGCAGAACGGGTACAAGAATCCGAAAAGACAGAAAATAGTCGACAAAGTTTTCGCAAGCTCAGCGCAGGAGTGACCACCCAATCGGCAAAGGCTTCATGGGGCTGAAAGCGAGCAGGCGATAAACAAAGGCGAATCAAAACGGCTGAGATCGAAATCTGATCGAAAACGGGATAGGAGGGCTGTCGGGGAGTGCAGAATGAATAGAGATCCAAGAAAATGAGAAAACAAAGAAATATCCGAGAAGGCTGAATGCGACATGGTCCGCTCTGAGGCGACATGAACGAGTCCCGGTTTCTTAGTAGACAAGAATGTGAACAGACAGGAGGCATATGCGAAACATAGCCTCCCCGTCGTGTAAACACGATTAGTACCACTGGGCCTCCGCTCCTTCGTCCCGCTTCGAACGGCCACCAGAAGGTCCATAACCCAAAGCAGCACCTTTCGAGGCAGAACGTAGCCTAACGCCGAAGACTATGCGATTAGTCAGATTCAGAACATAAGGGTCCTCCACGCCAGCGTCACGAAATGCAAATCACTCAACGTAGGAGTTAAGAAAGAAGGGGTCCCTACTCGGAACCAGGTTTCATGTACTCACATCCTATCACTACCTCCCACGGCACGGTTGGTGTCCGGAGTGTCGAGGGTGCCGCGTTCGACGACCTTACGGCGCTGGCTGGAGATGGCACCGGGCTTGGCGGCGCCACCGGCTCCCATCTGGCCAGCCGCGGGTAGAGCCTGGCGGCGTTGCTGATCCTCAGCATCCTTGTCCTTCTTGGAAGCGTCCACGATCATGGCGGCGTTCTTCTGGTACTTGTAAACGGTCCAGTCGAAGACGTAGTCGTACTGGAAGGACTCGCGGACGAAGAGGTCGCGGAAAATCTTGCGGAGGTAGGAGTAATCGGGCTTGTCGTCGAAGCGGAGCGAACGAGTGTAGTTCAGGTAGATAGCGAATTCGTTGGGGAAACCACGGCACAGGACTTCGGTGGGGGTGGTCATCTTCTTCTCCATAATGCGGTCGTACTTCTGCTTCTTGGTAGCAGCCTTCAGACCCTGCCAGGGGAGAGAGCCACGGCAGAAGTAGAGCATGACATAACCCAGAGATTCCATGTCATCACGTCGAGACTGCTCGACACCGAGATGGGTGTTGATACTGGCGTAACGGGCAGTTCCAGTGAGGTTCTTGTTCTCACGGTAAGGAATGTGGAAGTGGGTCTTGGGGTCACGGTATTTCTTTGCAAGACCGAAATCAATCACGTTGACCTGGTTGCCACGCTTGCCAATGCCCATTAGGAAGTTGTCGGGCTTAATATCACGGTGAATGAAGGACTTGGCATGGATGTATTCAATGCGGGAAATGAGCTGATCGGCGAGAAGTAGGACGGTCTTCAGCGAGAACTTGCGGTTGCAGAAGTTGAAAAGGTCCTCCAGACTGGGTCCCAGTAGATCGATGACCATAGCATTGTAATCGCATTCAGTACCGAACCAACGGACGAAGGGAATACCGACACCACCGGCAAGCGACTTGTAGACACGGGCTTCGTATTCAAGCTGGGGGTGCTTGGCCTTGACACTCTCGAGCTTGATGGCAATCTCTTCGCCGGAGATGATGTTCGTTCCTAGAAGCTATGAGTTGTCGTGCTGGGATAAAGCCAGATTTGTTATATCCATACCGAGATAAATGTCACCGAAACTGCCACTGCCGATCTTACGGCCGATGCGGTACTTGTTACCGACTCGCAAATCCTGCAGGTAATGTCAGTAAAGGGCGTGGTTCAGTCGTCTTGTTGACCATCCGAAATTTATAGTATAATCCAAGCGTAATACTGAAGCCACTCAAGGCATGGCTCCGAGTGAAGAAGATAGAGAAAAAAAAGAAAGAAATCGGGGGTGGCTAACACTGACCATGGTCGTCATCTTGAACCGATGGGGACACAGCACTTAGCCGTGAGAAAGGACGTAAGGCTAGAAGATTCAGAATATTAGATTTCGAATCCTGTGGACGAAAAAGAAACGATATGCAAAAGCTGAGATCGATGGAGTATAAAGGGGTGTAAAAGAGATAGAGAGGAAGAGAGAGGTGTGAGGGAAAGAAACAGGAAATCAGTGAGAGGGGTTGCCAACTGAACCTCAGGCAACTTGAGAAGGCTGGGCCAGATCAGCTAACACAGGGAAAGGGAACAGAAACAGAAACACAATACACTTGGGTAAATGATGCAATGAAAGAATGGAAAGCAAATGTAATAGACAACTGAAAGTCAAAAGGTAAAAAGCTGAATGAATCGATCTAGACATACCTGGAGATAACAGATCAACGACGTGTTGCCGACCGTACAGAAATGGCTCGAATGGCTCGAATGGCTCAAGAACAGATGAGCCGGGAATATCCGGAAATTTTTCACAAAGAAAATAGAGAAGGGCAAAAAGCCTTTTAAGGAACAGAGATATATGCTTGAGAAGGGGAAGAAGGAGGATGAGGGGGGCGAGTTGAGTCGGTGAGAAGGGTATTTTTTTCCCTTTGATTTAACGCAGGGGACAGCAGTCACGCCCGACGGGAGGTTTCCCTTTTTTTCCCTTGTCATTGGGCGTGGTATGGTAATTTTGGTATTGGGCATCTATAAACTTTTACATAGTACATTTTACATATTAGTACCAATGGATGTATACATTCATATTAAATGATATATAAGACCCTGATTTAAAGATTTAAAGATTTTGTCTTTGCTAAACTTGTTAAATTTGTATATAAATGGGAATTACTTCACAATTTTGGTGGTGATGCAATATCGCTCAGCCGACCGGTATCTGATCAATGAGAACTACCCGGACAGGCATCAAGCCTATAAGCATGTTCTTAAAATTGGAGTGGTACCCAATCTAAGATGTATACCATTCTCATTTGCATCATATACAATCACATTGCCCCCTTGCCAGATATGATATTCGCAGTGGTCTTGTTTATACATGTTCCTGAATCAACAATACCAGATCCTGTAGTATGCGCGATTTTCCTCAATGGGAAGATCGTCTTCGTCTATGAGAGGCAAACGTGCAGCATCACACTTGCAACCGATTACCACATATGATAAGAAACCCAATGTATGCTACAGCGTACTTCGACATCATCTGGTGAGATGGCATGGCTGCGGAGTAAGCTTATACCTATCGAATCGGACTGATGACAAGTCATAATTTACACCCGGGTGTCTAACTCACGAACCTGCAGGATTACCCTAGTTATGATGGTCATAATAAAGGATAAGAGCCTCCACAGGGCAACTAGAACGATTTTTTGACTATGGATGAACAAGGAATCCGCGTGGAATATGCTAGTGGTACAGCCAGAGTCCAATGAACATCAGAAAACCGGGGTATAAAAAGGGCAGCCGGGGGGTTAAAACAAAATCAAAACGAGAAAGAGTGAAACAAATGAGCGCAACGGCGAAACAGAATCAGAAAATAACACTGTGCGTCGGCGTAGAGGAACCATAGAGGATTATAAAGGACACATCATACATAGAAAAGAGTGTGGAAGACACAACGAGGGGGAAAAAAAACAAATGTTGCAAATACACGCGCAGAACGCTCAGACGGTGCAAATTGACATATCTTAGGGCACATAGTCATAGAACAACAATGGAGGGCAAGATCTTCAGATCACATTAGAGTGGTCGGGGTGTGCGGCTCCAGTGTTCAATGGCTTGGTTTGTACATCAAACCCAGCCCGGTCATCCTCGTCCAGTCTCTTCCTCCATTCTGCCAAACTATCACTCATCAGTGCGGGTCCCTCGCTATTATCCTTGGTGGGAGTCCGCTCCAGACCCAGCTGGCTGCTGAGACGGTAATTGCGGTTGGTGCTTTCCCAGTGAGAACGCAAAGCATCCAACTCGTTGGCAAGAGAGTCCAGGGCCATAGACCCACGGTTGTCAGGGAACGCAGAGTCCTGCGAGACATTGCTATCAGCTCGTGCCCGCCCATTGGCTCCGCTGATTGTGTTGCT